CTGGAGCGATAGCACAGCGGTAGGGCGTTCGCCTTACAAGCGGCCAGCATGGCCGACCCGAGTTCGATTCCTTCACCCCTCTCGGAGAGCCCGGCAAGCTACTGAGAGTATTCGATATGCCAAACACAGTAACAACAAAGTCTCCAATGGAGACATTACTGGGCCCGCTCGAGCAAATCGACGATCAACGGGAGGGCCTTTACCTTTACCTTTTTTAGCCTTAGAAAATAATTTAAACATTGGGAGTGCAATCCCACCCATTTTTTTCTCATAAACAGCTTTGAATATTCAAGGAGCTTTATAATTCTATACAAATTTTAGCTGTATTTGTTTCTAAGTCCTTGATGAATGTCACTGGAATCAATGGAGACTGCATCAGACTTGTATAATGCTTTGGGTAGTACAGTAATTTTTGGTTAATTATTCCAATTCATGATCATGGAATATTTCCTTGTGTTCTCTCTTTCGATGGTGACTTATGGGTTATGATGTATAAGTCACATACTTTGCTAATTCTTTAAATTAAAACCGCACTTATTTAGTTCTATGGGTCAAAGGTGCTCATGGGCTACGATTGACTCAGTGCTCAGAGCTGCTTGAAGTGGTGCTGGGTGGGGAGCATCAAGTGCTGGGAATCAAACACGAGAACTCACACATGCAATTCAAGTGCTCTACCACTGAGCTATATCCCTAGTTGATGGACACATTTTCAGTGGGTTTTGTTTGTTTCTCTTCTAGCTCACTGTTTGCATTTAAAATAGAACTAATTTTTGTATATTGATTTTGCAGCCTGCTAAACTTTTGTTGAATTAGGTTACTGTTTCTGAAATTTATTAGCAGCATGTTTAGGGTGTTCTTTGTATACTGCCATATCAGTTGTCAATAGTGATAGCTTAACGTCTTTCCCAATTTAAAAGGTAGATGCTGTTCACTTATTTTCAAGAACACATATTTTAAATCTGAGTAAGTCTATGAAAGCTTAGCATTTGAGATTAAGATAAACTTAAGTTAAACAGAAGCTTTCAAGCAAAAATAATTTTATCATTTAAATGAGTAAAAAAGAACAGATATCTAATAATAAGCAAACAGAGGTAGGCAAAAGCATGTTTGTAGAGGAATAGCACTCACTATGTGCAGGGAGAAAAAAATTACACAAGTTCAATGAAGATCAATTTAATATTATAAACCCAAAATGAAATAAAACTCTCTGGTCCAGGAATTATGTATGAAGGTTTAATTGCACATGTGTGAAACAACATACATAAAGATTACCTGCTGCTGCATTAGTTTTAATTACAAATACATGGAAACAGTATCAGTATCCACCAAAAAATAATAAATTGTAGCATACATCAGTCATTTGAAACATTTATATTTTCTTATATACATATATCCAAGATAGAAGTGAAAAACAAGCAAGTTCAACAGGAGTAAGGGTGATACTTATTATACAAAAGCAAGAGACACACACATATAAGTACATATTTATTTTTTATTAAACCTATTAACATTTTGTTATGGTATAGTATATATAAACAGAAACCAAGTTGAAACTATCCTTAAAATATTTTCATATTTTGTGTGACTAACCAATCATGTTGTACACTGCTCAATCCCATTGCTATTTTATATTTTATTCTGTAAATGTGCCAAAATTTATCCATTATAATTCTTATGGGTACTTGGGTAGTGCCCAATTTGAGGTCTTCTAATAGAACTGCAATGAACACTGGAGTGTATATATAAATATTTCCACATACCTGGAGAAAGAAGTGCTGAGTCATAGGCTACTCAAGACCACAATTGCAATAGGTGTTACCACATAGTTTTCAAAATTAATCGCCTCAGATGAAATTCCCACCAGTAATAAGAGTGCCAATTTCTATAAATGCTTACCCTCATTGATATACCCTTAATTTTATATATTATATTATTATTGTTGTGGTACTATACTGTGGTTTATTCTTTAATTAGTACTCCCCTTAATAAAAAAGTTCACTTCAACAGTCCAATTTTCTATTGTTTTTCTATTGAATTTGAAGTATACGAAAACATTATTTAAAAAGTAAACTGAAATGTCCTTTAAAGGTAAATTCAAACGCAATTATAAATAAAAATTTTAGGGACTAGATCAATATAGTACAGCAAGTAGGGCACTTGCCTTTTATGAGGCCCACCTGGGTTTAATCTTAGGCACCCCATATGGTCCTCTGAGTCCCACTAGGAGTGGCCCCTAAATGGAGCCAGGAATATGCCCTGAGCACTGTTGATGTAACCACAAAAACTAAATTTTAGAAATTGATGCTATATGCTTTCTCCAAGAGATTTAAAATATACTTATAATTCTAAAGCTCTAAAAGTCTTTCGTTTCTACAATGTAGAGTAACAAAGTTTGCTTTTTTTAAATAATTTTATTTTTATATAATTTCAGAGAACAGTAATTGCCTCTTTTTAAGCTTGCTTAGATTTTAAGGTATTTCATTTGTCCAACTTTAATGTGTACATTTTATTAGCACTTGTAGCACTATCCTCACATTGTTCACTGAGTTACTCGAGTGGACACCAGTAACGTTTCCATTGTGAGGCATGTTGTTACTGTTTTTGACATATCAAATACACCATGGGGAGCTTACCAGGCTCTACCATGCAGGCCGGATACTCTTGGTAGCTTGCCAGGCTCTCCAAGAGGGATGGAGGAATCGAACCTGGGTCGGCTACATGCAAGGTAAACGCTCTACCTGCTGTATTATCGCTCCAGCCCTATATATATTTTATTAGCTCTATAAAATATCCAATATATCCAATTAATTTATCTGCAAATTGAATTTTTTAACGAGTTTTTCCTCTTAGAGTCTGCCATCTTATTGTTCCAGTGAAAATGAATCCCTGTTGGGCTGAATCAATACTTCAGTGGGGAGGGCATATGTCTTGCACAGGCCAAGTGGGTTTGATCCCTGGCACCACACATGGTTCCGGGAGTGATCTCTGAGTACACAGCCAAGAGTAAATTCTAAAGCACCACTGGGTGTGGCTTGAAGACAAAAACATTAAAGAAAATAAAATGGTGCCCCATGGAAAAAGGCCAGTAGGGCCAAAGTGAAAGTACAGGGGGTACTTTGCTTTGCTTATGGGTGGACAACCCAGGCTCAATCTTCAGCATCCCACATGGTCCCCCAAGCATCACCAAGAGGAATCCCAGAGCACCGAAGGGTATGACCCAAAACCTAAAAAAAGAAAGAAAAACGGAAAGGGAGAGGGAGGGAAGGAAAAAAAGCCCAGTGAAGAGTTTACATTAAATTAGTAAAGCCTAATTCTTCCACTTAAATTTCATATGCATTTCCTTCAGATTCTCCTGTTTTCTGAATCCCAATCTCTTTTTTAACTTATATGTTTTATTGCACCACATCTTTAGGAACAAGAGGGATCAAAAGTAAATAATAATCATGTATTCAATATGCCAAACACAGTAACAAGTCTCATAATGAAGATGTTACTGGGCTCGCTCAAGCAACTCCATGAACAATAGAAGTAGAAATATTTTTATTGTTCCCCTTATAATCCAATAATAATTCAACAAAATTATCAGAAGTGTTTTTCAGAATTTTGAAGAAATAGGAGTTCATTTCTTGTGTTCTTTTTGTTTTGTCTTCTTGGATCACACCCAATGATACTCAGGAATTAATCCTGGTGGTGCTCAGGGAACATATGGGATACTGAGTGTTTAACATAAAAATATTTTGCAGAGAAATTCAATACCTACCTAATTTTTATCCCTTTATTCTTGTTTCTTACCTCTGAAAACTTTTTGAACCTTCTCTTATTTTCAGTGTTCTGATCTTTTGAATAATAAACGTCGTCCTAGAACTTTTATTTCATCCATCCCGGTCGTTTCAATATGGAAAACCTCTTCTTTGGAACTGGCAAAAACTTTTGAGTTATTTTTTGGGTCATTTCCTGTCTGCTTATTGTTGTTCCCTTTAGACCACATGAGTGAATGAAAGAAATGCTTGCTGAGGACTCGTAGCTTCCTAAACCATTAAACACGAGGCAGCAGTACGCATTCTAATTTAAGCAATAAAGAAAAAAAATTAACAGGCTCTGGAGAAATCGTGCAGGAAGTGCAGAAATAGAGCACTGCTACCTGGCATGTGCCCAGCAAGGTTTGATCTCTGGTGCCACACAGAGTCAGTCACCCAGCACCTCCTCCAGGCATCATACCAGCACAGAGCCAAGACTAAGCCCTGAGCACCACTGGGTATTATGGCCCAAGTAGTACCCCTTCCCCAATTTTAACACTCTCAGCTTCCTGTTCTTGTAAAACGACGTTATGAATCTCATACCACACACAAAAAAAAAAAAAGAAAGAAAGAAAAGGAAAAAAAAATTTTAAAAAGCAAGGAGCACTGCTTCTCCGTGGGCAGAAATTCTCCACTCAGCCCGGGACTTCCTGAGGAGGGGCGCCCTGGGAGACAGTCCAAGGACTCACTGGACCCCAGGGGTCTGCAGCGACAGTCTTCGCGCTCTCTTTCGACGGAGAGAAACGTTTGCCTAAGGCCCAGCCGTGCCTGAACGTTTGCTGTGGGAGGCGCGGGGCGGCCCCGCTTTTGCAATCTTACCTGGGGTCAGGGAGACGGGCCTGTGGCGGCCTGGGCGTCACCCACGGACGTCAGCTGGGCTGAAAAGGGGGCGTGGGGGCGACAGCCAGCTGAGGGCCGGAACGAGAGCTGAGGGGGTGGGGGGGCACCCCGAGAAACCGGACGCTCGTCCCTCCCCCCCGCCCCCTCGCCCCGCGGGCCTGGTGTGGCCGACGGACAGGGCAGCCCCACAGCCGAGGGGGCGTCTCCCTCGGCCCCGGCCGGCCGCGTGCAGCCCCGGGAGTCACTTCCGGCCGCGGCCCCGCGCAGGCGCAGAGGAGGGGCCGGGCGCGCCCTCCGCCGCACGCGCCGCCCGCGCGGGGATTGGGCTGGCGGCCGGCGCTGAGGCCAAAATAAATCCCCTTGGCAGGCTCGAGGGGCGCCTGACAGCGTCCGTCCGCGCGTCCAGACGCCCGCCGGGAGGGACTTTCCCCGCTAGAAAACTATTAGGAACTTCGCGCCCGGCTGGAGGAAACGGGCTCGCGGGGGGACGGGTCCTTCAGCGCCGCGCGTCCCGGGCGAGCCGCGCCTCAGCGCCTCAGCGCCTCAGCCTTCGAGCCGGACGCCCCTGCCCGCGCGCCTCAGCGCCTCGGCGCCTCACCGCGAGCGACCCCTGCCCGCGCCTCAGCGCCTTCTAGGCGCCTCACCGCGAGCGACCCCTGCCCGCGCCTCTGCGCCTCACCTCCTCAGCGCCTCAGCTTTGGAACCGGCCGCTCCTGCCCGCGCCTCAGCGCCTCAGCCCGAGCCGGCCGCCCCTGCCCGGGCGTCGGCAGACGGACGAGCCGTCCCTCGGCTCGCGGCGCGCCCAGACCCCGGGGTCGGGGGACTCCGGCCAGCGCGCGCCATGGGCCGGCCGGCCGCCTAGTGTCGCGCCCCCACGAGTGCCCGGACGGCGGGGCGACGGGCCACCATGAACGGCGAGGCCATCTGCAGCGCGCTGCCCACCATCCCCTACCACAAGCTGGCCGACCTGCGCTACCTGAGCCGCGGCGCGTCGGGCACCGTGTCGTCCGCTCGTCACGCCGACTGGCGCGTCCAGGTGGCCGTCAAGCACCTGCACATCCACACGCCGCTGCTCGACAGGTAGAGCCCCCGGGCCGGGCGCCAGGGGTCGTCAGGTTGGGATACCCCCACCCCACCCCCCACCCCCCACCCCGTGGCACCCTTCGAGGCGTGGGAACTGACGGCCCCCGTGGCCGTCATCATCCGGCTGTTCTTTTTTGTTTTTTCCTCCAACGCTTTTCCTGACTTGCTTCTTCCCCTGTTTGCTGAGGCTTTTCTGAAGATTGCAAAATTCAGCGATCACAGATTCCTTCCTTCCTTCCTTCCTTCCTTCCTTCCTTCCTTCCTTCCTTCCTTCCTTCCTTCCTTCCTTCCTCTCTCCCCTTCCCTCCCCTTCCTTCATCCCTCCTTTCCTTCCTCCCTTCCTTTGTTCCTCAGAGTACGCTTGCGAGCAGTTTGGAATCAGTTTCCAGGACTCCAGGCAGTTCCCACCCACAGGTGGCATTCGAGTCTGTGGAAAGTGGACATGGGAATGCTAAGTGCGCAGCTAAGTGGGCCCCCCCCCCCTCCGCTATTTCCAGCACTGAGGACTTTTAAGAAAAGGGCATTTTTAATATCTTATTGAGTCGGATGTTTCTAGGTTAAGATCATATATATATGTACATATATATATACACACACACACACACATACATACATACCGGGCTACATATAAAATGTTAAAATTCAATTCATGCATTCAGTTGAAAGCATGCATTTCTTTGATGTGCACACTAGAACATGTTCAATTGTGTGATCTGTATTATTTTTATTTCCTTTGTTCATCCGTTTATTTGTTGAACAAGTTTGGGCTTTGATTTTTTGGCAAATCAGATATTTTTACAGGAGTGTAAATGTTGGTATATTTCACGGGGTCGCTGTTACCATGTCATGCCCATCACCAAACTCCAATAATCCTCCACTATTGCTCATATATGGGCTGGAGCGATAGCATAGTGGGTAGGGCATTTGCCTTGCACGCAGCTGACCCGGGTTCGATTCTTCCGTCCCTTTCGGAAAGCCCGGCAAGCTACCTACAGTATCCTGCCTGCATGGCAGAGCCTGGCAGTCTCCCCTTGGCATATTCAATATGCCAAAAACAGTAATAACAAGTCTCACATTGGATATGTTACTGGTGCCCGCTTGAGCAAATCGTTGAAAACAGGAGGACAGTGCTGCAGTGCTATTGCTCATATGCCCTTTCCTCTGCATCCTCTCCACCTTAAGTTAATCTGGTATTTGTCTTTCTCCTTCTGACTTATTTCACTTAACATGTCACCTTACAGTTATATCCATGTGGTAGCAAAAAGCAATATGCTATCTTCTTTTCTTAGCTGGGTAGTATTTCGTTGGAGTATATCTCACACTTTATCTTTTCTTTTTGGTTTTTGGGTCACACACACAAAAAAACAAATGTTCTGGGCTTACTCTTGACACTAGGCTCAGGGGTCACTCCTAGTAGTACTTAGGGGACTATATGCACTGCTCCCTACTGCATATAAGCAGCAGGTCCACAGCATGCAAGTCAGGTGCCTCTAGCTGGATTCTCATTCTCTCTATCTCTCTCTCTCTCTCTCTCTCTCTCTCGTTGCAAATAGCACTGCAGTGAACATAAGTATATGAATAGCCTTTCACAGTAATGTTTTTACAGTCTTTGGTTGTAAGTAGAATTTCTGGATCTTAATTCTATGTTTCTTTTTTTTTCACACATTGTTTACTGAGCAGTACTGCTGTAGATTCTAGAATGTTTGGGGTTGGGCTTTTGATTGTGTTTTTTTTTTTTTTTGTTTAAGGTTTATTACCTGTGGTCATGAAAGTTTAAATACCATTTTTAAGTTTCTCCTCTCAGTTTCACAGGAAAGCCTGAGCCCAAGGGAAATGTGTTTTATGATAGCTAACAATAAACTGATTCAGAAGACTGTTAAATAACAGTTAGGATTTCAAATGTCACTCATATCCTAAAACAATTTCCATGTAATGTGCAGGGTTTAAGAGGGTGCTTGAATGAGCTTCTTGCAGAAAAACAGCTCAACCATATACCATAGTTTTATGTTTTCTAATCAGTGGGTCTAATTCATGTGCATTTTTCTTCCAGTAGCAAATTAATTAGGTTCTGCATTTAGTTCTTAGTTAAAATCCCTGATTGCAACAGTATCTTCCTCCTTACTGTATTTTCTAATGTGAAAATTTAGAGACTGGCACACATCCTAAAGATCAAGAACAATATGTGCTGGCACAGATGTGGGGAGAAAGGGACTCACATTCATTGTTGGTGGGCATGCTGACTGCCCCAGCCTTTTTGGAAAACATTACGGACATTTCTCAAAAAAACTTAGAAATTGAGCTCCCATTTGACCCAGCAATACCACTTCAGGGAGTATACCCTGAGGGCCCCAAAAAACACACCAGAAATGCCATTTGCACTGCTATGGTCACTGTAGCACTGTTCACAGTAGCCAGAATCTGGAAACAACCCAAGTGCCTGAGAACAGATATCTGGATTAAAAAATGATGGTACGTCTACACAGTGGAATACTACATAGCTGTTAGGAAAAGTGAAGTCATAAAATTTGCTTATATATAGATAGACATGGAGATATCACTGAGTGAAATGAGTCAGAAGGAGACAGACTTACATATCTGCACTTATTTGTGAGAAATGAAAAAAAATTAGTATGAGACTAATATCTAAGGACAGAAGAATCAGGATAACTGGTCCATGTTTGGAAGCTTGCCACAAGTTTGGGGGAATAGGGGAATGCAGATGTCAGTTAGGATAGAGAAGGGACCAATATGACAATAATAGTTGGTACTGATCATTCTCTGATTGCTGAAAGTAGGTAAAGGGATATACATGATATCCTTTCAGTCTGTTGCAAACCATGATGCCCAAAAGGAAAGAGAGAAAGAGGGGACAGAAAAAAAGAGGCAGGTGGGAGAGGGGGGACAGCAGGAGGGAAACTGGAGACAGTGGTGCTGGGAAATGAACATTGGTGTTGGAAAGTTGTATGACTGAAACCCAATCATGAACAACTTTGTAACTGTATCTCAAGGGTAAGGCAATTAAAAATAATAATAAAATATTATCTAATGTAAAAACGCATCACAGTGAGATGCATGCTTGACCAGAAGTTATTAGTATCTGAGGCCAAAGAGAAGCATAGCAGGCAAGGCACTTGCTTTGCAGGAGGTTGACCTAATTCCCCAGCACCCCCTATTTTTACCCAAGCACTGCCAGGAATGATGCCTAACCCAGAGCAAGGAGTAAGTCATTAGGTATGGCTCCCCTCATCATCCATTTTTTTAAGTTGTTAATATCCAACATCAGCTTCAGCCCTGTCAGTGTCTTGGGACTTTTCAGTATTATTTCCAATTTCTGTTTATGTAGTCCAGGCCTGGTGATTTTTTTTTAGTGTATGTGATGCCGAAGCGAGCTACTGAGAATATCTCGCCTGCATGGCAAAGCCTGGCAAGCTACCTGTGACGTATTCAATATGCCAAAAACAGCAACAACAAGTCTCACGATGGAGACGTTACTGGGCTTGCTTGAGCAAATCAATGAACAATGGGAGGACAGTGACAGTGACAGGCCTGGTAATATATAAGGTATTATAGTGTTTACCTGGAGCATTAAATTTTACATAGCAAGTGGTCAGTAAAAGTGTGACTATATAGATATGTGCATATATATATCTAATAGCATGGTGATGGAAGTGGATTAGAGAGTGGATTATAGAATGAGGCACCTTACAATGAGTAGGGAGCTTGCCATGCATACGGCTAACCGGAGTTCAATCCCCAGCATCCCATTTGGTCCTCTAAGCCCGGTCAGGAGTGATCTCTGAGCACAGAGCCTGGAGTAATCCCTGAGTACCACTGGGTGTGGCAAAAATAAGTGAAATTTATATATATATATATATATATATATATATATATATACATACATATATTTTAGAATGAACTGGCAAATACATGAAAATCTAATACTGAAGGACATACTAGGTACTATAAAGCAAATTGTGGATGCCACCATTGTGGATGCTATTTCTCAGAATTTTGATATACTTAATACTCATGCCTTTGGGGGGCCAAGAAATGACGAGTTTCCTTTCTGTGCTTAACAATTTTCATAATTTATAATTCTTCATTAAATTCGGAAGGAGACTAATTTATTCTACCAAGGAACTCATAAATACCAGTGAAACATCACTCTGGTGTTAGTACATCACATACTCTTCTCGTTACTCAAGATGTTAACATTGCAGTATTTATGTAGTCTGAGCGATAGGGCTGGGCAGTTGACTCATAGAGTTTCTATTTCCAAACTTACAAAGTGGGAAATAATAAATACATGTACTTCTTGTCTCTGGTGTGGATAATGTTTTCATTGTTCTTTGAGATCACCTGAAAGAAGCTTATGTTTTGTTCTGTTACATGTTCTTATTTTAGCAGTTGGTGAATCATACTCCATAATTGTACTCCTGCCCAATGAATGGGCCTTCCCCAGCTATCTTCAGATACCTTCTAATGAGATCAGTCTGATGGGTTATCCAAACTCCCTGTAGATTTAGTGTTTTCCAGAGTGACAGTACTGCTTCCACAGACACCACTGGGTGGATTCAGGACAGTGTTAACCTCCAGAGCAACCGTGGGAGACCTTACCTTTCTGTTTTGTTGTTGTTGTTTTAGGTTTTTTTTTTTTTTTTTTGGCTTAAAGAAAGTAGCTTTGGGGACAATGGGGCAGGGATTCTGAGTATTTTTCTGAAAAGAGGGCAATAGCCCAAATAAGTTTATTTTATGACTGAATTTTTGAGCTGGGAAACTACAGAAACTGAATTTTATGCGTTTGATTTTAAAAAACATGAAGGGCTTAGAAGATAGTTCAAAGGGCTGGAGAGCATTCTTGCATAAGTAACGCCTGAATTCATACTCTGCCACCCATTGTGTTCCCTAGCACTTCCATTTTTAGTCCTATTGGCCCTTCAAACCCCACTAACTAGATACAGCCTTGGTGATCAGTGAGAGCCATATCCAGCCCCAGCACTGAAGTTTCAGTCCCACACCACTGGGCCCAGAGTTACGTGGAGAGCCCAACTTGATTCCTCAAGTACTGGGAAAGCCAGATCAAACAAAAAAGATAATCATGATAGTTTATAAAAAATATTTTACATTGTTTTTACTTTTTCTGTTTTCTTACTCTCCGAATCTCCCAAAAATTTCACTTCAGTAACATTTCTTTTCTCATAAAGCAGTGGAATGCAAAGAATATAGGCTTAGATTTCCACAGTTCCAATTCTAACTTCAACCCTGCCATGTATGAGTATGATCATTAGAAAAATATTAATTTTTCTGAGGCTCACTTTTCTCATGTTCAACATAGAAATAATGAAGCCATTTTTTCAAGGGTTGGTTTAAGAAAATAGTATAGGAGCCAGAGCAGTAGTACAGCAGGTAAAGCACTTGCCTTGCTCAAGGCCAACCTGGGTTCAATCCACAGGACCCCATGTGGTCCCCAGAGCCCCACCAGGAGTGATCTCTGAGTTCAGAGCCAGGAGTAATCCCTGAGCACCTATGGATGTGACCCAAAGAGGTGGGGGGAAGGAAATAGTGTATATGAAGAGGTCAACACATAATGGAATTTCCATAAAAGAAATAATGTCCCATATTCTTAATAGGAGGCTGGAGCCATAGTACAGCGGGTAGGGCATTTGCCTTGCACGCAGCCAGCATGGCCGACCCGAGTTCGATTCCTCCGCCCCTCTCGGAGAGCCCGGCAAGCTACCGAGAGTATTAGATATGCCAGACACAGTAACAACAAAGTCTCCAATGGAGACGTTACTGGGCCCGCTCGAGCAAATCGACGATCAACGGGAGGGCCTTTACCTTTACTATAATTTTTCCTGTACACCCTCTTTATAGTTCTTCCTTAGAGAATCCAGAAATCTTTAGGTCCATCCTCTCTGTCCTTGTTCAGGGTATCACATACCTTGTTACCTTACATCTCTTTTATTTTACCTTTTACCAGGAAATGATTTGGGAGAATTAGTATAGGATCTTACACATATAAGACATCTAGTCTACCACTAAGCCACCTCCTGGGTCTTCACCTATATCTCTCGTTGCAAACATAGAGGTATTTGAACTTAGGGACTATAATACAGAAATGCTTGAAGTTAAGGAATGTAAGTTTAATTAAAATAGGTCTCATGGACTGAGGTAACTGGTTTGCTTTAGAATAGGAATATTAAGTTGCTGAAGAACAGGAAGGAGAGAAGGAGAGAAGCTTTGCAGCCTATGCCTGCTTGTAACTCTTTAATTTTGAAATATATGTTACATAACATAAATGACTAGGATTTTTTTATGCTTTCTATTTTTAATGTAAGCCTCATAGACTGCTCTGGAGTTTCTATTGCTTTCCTTTTTAAACAGTCATGCTTCCAGATTGGGTGATTAATCATCACTTACCTAATAGACTTCAAGACATTTTTTTCCTATTTCTTTTATTCAGGCTACCAGTTCCTGTAAATCCACAGTGAAAAGTGATGATAACCTGAACTCCCTTCTGGTTTGGTTTGATTTGGTTTGGTTTTCATCCCTCTGGTCATTCATCAGTCACCACTTTCTCAGCATTCTATTCGCTAGGAGTTTGTCTTTTATACTTATAGTTTGGACTCTCTCTGCTTCATACCCAAAATAGTATTATAGCAATCTTCTGGAATCTGGCTTTCATGAAAATTGCCTACCAATAGGAGTCTGCTAATTTTACCTCCAACTGCTGTCAAGTCCAGAATCCTAACTTGTTCTGGTTACATTATGCTTCTGTAACGTAGCAGGAGTGACAGCTGCCAGGAGTGACCCCAAGTACAGAGTCCAGAGTTGCCATGAGCATCAATACCTGTGATCCCTCCAAAGAGCAAACCTTTGGTCACAACTTTTAGGCTTCAAATCACTATTACTATAACTATCACCCCATTCTTCAGTTCGCTCGAGCGGGCCCAGTAACGTCTCCATTCGTCCCTGTCATGTGGAAGTGTAGCCCAGTGACATATTGGGGGCTCCTTCAGGATCAGGGGAATGAGGACCATTCATTGTTACTGTTTTTGACATATTGATTACGCCATGGGTAGCTTGTCAGGCTCTGCCATGCGGGTGGGATACTCTTGGTAGCTTGCCGGGCTCTTCGAGACGGATGGAGGCTTTTGGGGCAGCCTCTAATCACCTTTACAGGTGTTCCCTAGTCAGGCATATAGACGGGTATGATACTCTTAGCAGCCTGCCGGGTTCTCTGAGAACTAGAGAATAAAAGGTTTATTAGGCTTCAAATAAAGTATAAAAACTCTGACTGACTTTTAGGGCTCTATAGTGTAACCCTACTTACCCTATTCATCTTCACTCCTTGTATATGCTTGTTTATAATTTATATTAAACAGTTTGTCATTTTCTAAGTGTACCCTTCATTTAGCTTCTTTTAGTGTAACTCAAATAACTGACACATGCATAACTTTTAAGTTTCTACTATAATCAGGGCACTGTTTAAAGACCTGGGAATACATCAAGAAAGAAACACAAGTTCTCCTGAAGATCACATTTATCTTGGTTGCCTGGTTGACTAATGGATAAGATTCTATCAATCGTAAAATGAAATCCCAACTCTATAAATCATTGACTCCCCTAGAAGCTTATTTCCTCTTTTCCAACCTTTCCAGAGTTCTCTATTTGTTCATTTATTTAAGTGGCATTTATGACACATTATTTAATTTGCTCTCATTTTAAGCTTTAAAAATAACTAATATAATTGTATATGTTTATATTTTGCAATATAATGTTTTAATGTGCCTGTCCATTTTGGAATCATAACCAAAATCAATTAATGAACACATACAAAAAAGACATACAAATGGCAGATAGGTATATAACATAATCGTAAATCATCATTAATCATTAAGGAAATACAAATCTAAATCAAAGTGAGAGCTTATTTTTCTGAAAAGATTTCTGGGCAGGGGCTGGAGTAATAGTACAGAGGGTAGGACATTGCACACAGGCAACCTGGGTTTGATCCCTGGCACCCCATATGGTCCCTGCTATGTATCATCCTTGAGTGCAGAGTCAGGCGCTAAGCACCACTGGGTATGACCCCACAAAAAAAAATTAGGGAAGCTAGAGGGCAAAAACTATTTTTATCTTTATGTTCTCCATAAACTTTTTGAAAACAGTATGTACATAATAAAAGTTAAGTATTATTTGTTTTCTATATCAATAAGTAAATCTCAGCTTGACTTATGGCAAGGATCTCTTGGAAACAATTTAATCTTCTCAGTGTTTGCAACTTTTAGTGTGTAATATCTAGAAAGTAGGGACTCAGCTAGTTATTTAATGAAACATTTAGTTAATAAATATTTAGAATATTTTTAAAAATTATATATGCTCTTAGATCATGAACTGAATATAATATTCTAATAAAATTGATCTTATGACTTAATTATTCTATTATATCAGATAAGCCATTATAATATCAGTATACTTTATGAATTTACTCAAACTTTAGGATATTTTTCCTTTCCTAGAAAGGTACAACAATAAAAACTTTTCTGTCAGTAGCTTGTAGAAATTATTCTGGTCTCTAATCATACTTGTGAAATGAAGGTAGGCATTTCTTTCTACTTTAAATATGAAACTAAAAGTTGGAAGTGTTGCATAATGTATATAAAGTCAAAGGCTAATTAATGAAAATAAAATTTATAGCACAGCGGGTAGGGCATTTGCGTTTGCCTTGCATGTGGCTGACACAGCTGACCCGAGTTCGATTCTTCTGCCCCTCTCAGTGAGCCCAGCAAGCTACCGAAAGTATCTGGCCCCCACAGCAAAGCCTGGCAAGCTACCCGTGACATATTCAATATGCGAACCACAGTAACAACAAGTCTCACAATGGAGACATTACTGGGCCCGCTCGAGCAAATCGATGAACAATGGGAGGACAGTGACAGTGACTTAATATTATGAACATTATAATTATGTTTTTTATTGCTTTTAAATAACTGTGTTTCTTTTTCTTTAGTGAAAGAACTGATGTCTTAAGAGAAGCTGAAATTTTACACAAAGCTAGATTTAGTTACATTCTTCCAATTTTGGGAATTTGCAATGAGCCTGAATTTTTGGGAATAGTTACAGAATACATGCCAAATGGATCATTAAATGAACTCCTACATAGGGTAAGTACTGTACACTTCAGTGACTGAAATTCTGTTATTCAAGCTTAGTATTTGATTTTATATATTATTAGATTATTTGAGCTCATGTAGATGAGTCAAAATTATAATAAACTATTCATGTGGTAAATTTTCACCATTTATAACTTCTTTTAGTGTGTGGGGGATAGAAAAGTTTACTGGAAAAAATAGGGGAAAGGGAAGGAAACTCCAACTAGGAACAAACTTAAGAGTTAAGTTCTTATAACTTCTTTTGTATGTTATAAGTACTGAGAGTATCTCGCTCTCACGGCAAAGCCTGGGAAGCTACCCATAACGTATTAGATATGCCAAACACAATAACAGAAGAGTCTCAAAAAATGGAGACGTTACTGGGCCCGCTCGAGCAAATCGATGAACAACGGGAGGACTGTGTGTGTGTGTGTGTGTGTGTGTGTGTGTGTGTGTGTGTGTGTGTGTGTATGGGTGGGAGTGGGGTGTGCAGTGATAACAGTACAGTGGGTAGGCAGTTAACCTTGCACACAGCTAACCTGGGTTCAATCCCAGGCATGTATATGTCCCCCAAGCCTACCAAGAGTGATTCATGAGTGCAGAGCCAGGAGTAAGCTCTGAGCCCTTCCCAGGGTGGCCAGAAAAACAAAAACACTGTAGAGGACCAGAGACATAGGTTAAAGGTTAAGGCATTTGCTTTGTACATACCCCAGCTTGCTTTATTTGATTTCCAGCCCAGCACCCCACATGATTCCCCAAGCACCACCATAAGTGTCCCCTGAGCCAGTAGGACATAATGCCTGAGCACTTCTGGGTGTGACCCAACTCCCCTCCACACCCTGCCACCTCCACTATGAAGCCACGCCTTACATTTTAAGAGACTTAAGATTATTTTGCATAGATTTCTATTTCTAGATTTTACACCGAATACCAATATCTGCATGCATTTATACACATGCGCAGATAAACATATATCTGCATGCATATGTAAGACATAGCGAAACAAAAGGATAAACACTAGACAGTATACAATTCATAGTTAATTTGATAAGATTTTATTTTATATTAAACCGTATAAATAGAACTCAAAGGGTAACAGTAATAGTATTAAAGTTCTGAATTAAATCTACGGAATACTTAGTTTCCCCAAGTAATGGGTATTGGCATGAGACATTTACCATTCCTAAGGTACTTGAAATTCTGGTTTTGATTGTGAATCCCATCAGTAACACATTTGGAAATCCTTATTCTCAAAATATGTATTGTCATATTGTTGTTTACTTGAGTTTAAATTATTCTTCCCTCCAACCTATGAATTGCTGGAGAGTTCTTTGAAACCCCTTAATCTATCCAGCAATTCATAGATACATTACAGTGTTCTATAAATAAAATAGGAATACTTGAGTACCACTGTCCTCAACACATAGAGTGACATCCTCCATTTCCAGGATATGTCACATTCTATAATATGTGACCATCAAAAACAAGAATGAAGTCCTAGTGTTAGCATATATGATTATAAAACCACCACTGAAACCAAAATACAAATACTTGTTAAGCACTATTGTTTTTTGTTGAAAAATGAATGACTGGAAATTCTGTTATTTCATTTTCATACGTTGAACACCAGTAGATACCTGTGGCCCAAATATGGGGCCCACTAGAAATTCTAGCACAGAGGTTTATAAAGGTATTTGGCCTCATGCTTGTTTTAGAAAAATAATTACTCCATGGGACCCCTATGGAACCCTACCTTCCTCAATCAGACAAAAAGAAAATGCCCCCACAGGTTTCCACAGAGGCTAGAACTGCCCGACTGTTTATTTCCAATATTCTTCAAGGACAGTATTGCCCCAAGCAAGAACTCCCTCACCCCCGCACGCACACTGTTCTGAAGATTACTTCAAAGGGACTGCAGAAAAGGGACCACCAAGTAAAGATGCTTGGAGGACCTGCTCAGAATGGGAGATGTGTACTGAGAGTAGACTATTGACTGAACATGTCACGGTCACGGTCCTCCCATTGTTCATCGATTTGCTTGAGTGGGCCCAGTAACGTCTCCATCATGAGACTTGTTACTGTGTTTGGCATATCGAATACGTTACGGAGAGCTTGCCAGGTTTTGCCCTGTGGGCGAGATACTCTCATTAGCTTGCCAGACTCTCCAAGAGGGGTAGAGGAATCGAACCTGGGCTGAACGGTAAATTTAATCTTAATAAGAAAATTAAAATATAAATTTTGAATGACTGTCTTGCCATGTACTAGAAACAAATTGCGAGTGTATATTGTAGTAGGGGAGGCACATAGTTATTTGATATAAGCCAAAAATAAGGAAATGTATATATGTATAGTATTTGTATCTAGGTGTTAGATTTAAAAATAATTGAAAAGTCTGCTGAAGAATGCCCAATACTTGTAGTCACTATTCTAATATAAAACAGAAAGAAAATAGCATTACTATAAAATTATTGTTCTTTTCTCTAAAAATAATGAGCAAAATCAAATGTAAGAATGTTAATGTCAAAATGATACTATGCAATTTTTAAAACATGTTATTGTTTCCTCTTGGAATATTTCATTTTCCCCTGCACCACATGGTCCCCTATGGACTGCTGAATGTGTCCCTCTTGGTCCCTGAACCACCAGTTCCCAGTAGTTCCCTGCATTGCTGGGTCTGAGGACAGAGCCATCAGGCCCACACAACTGGTCAAAGTATGGAGAAGTAGTCCCCCCACCCCCCTGAGCTCAACTTCAAAGCGGAAATGTAATTAATTTGGGGCACTAACTTTGGCTTTGTTTCTTTCTGTATATGTGAAGAAAACAGAATATCCTGATGTTCCTTGGCCATTGAGATTTCGCATCCTGCATGAAATTGCACTGGGTGTAAACTACCTGCACAATATGAATCCTCCTCTACTGCATCATGACTTGAAGACTCAAAATATTTTATTGGATAATGAATTTCATGTTAAGGTAGTTCTTAAAAATATCTGAATATATGACTAGTGTTTTAATATATTAACTTAGTTCTTTCCCTTACCTTTACCTTTACCTTTCCCTTAGCCAATTTAATATATCTCCCTTTGCTGTCCCTTTGCTGTAGCCTTTATTCTTTCTTTTTTTCCTTTTTGGGTCATACCTGGCGATGCACAGGTGTTACTCCTGGCTCATGCACTCAGGAATTACTCCTGGCAGTTCTCGGAGGACCTTATGGGATGCTGGGAATCAAACCTGGGTCGGCCGCGTGCAAGGCAACACCCTACCCACTGTGCTATTGCTTCAGACCCCTGTAGCCTTTATTCTCATCAATAGCCTTTCTTCTACTATGGTGACTTAGTTATTCCCAGACCACGAGGTAGATATAACTACAAAATATATCAAATCATCATGCTCTTAATGTAAAATACCTTTTCTTGAACTTATTCCAGATTATCAGGAAGTGCAAAAATAACATAGAAAATCCTTGTACTCATAGCCCACAGTCATCAATTATACATCACATATAATAATAGTATAATCAAGATCAAGAGCATGATATTACTACAGTGCAAGTAGTTCTGTAGCACTTTATCATATATGTGTGTGTAACAACTACAACAATCAAGGTACAGCACTAATATGTAAAATGTCACTCATTAGTCAGAGGATAAAAGAATTATTATTTCCATGTAGTATTACCTCAAGAAAAAAATTAAAACCCCTAAAGGATGTAAAGGGCTCTGGAGATAGCTCAAACAGCTAGGGAATATTATTTGCACATGGGAGGCTTAGATAATCTGCACTGGGCTGCAGTCTCCCACACCGCGTGGTCCCCCAAACACTGCAGGGTGTGCCCCCCCCACACACACACACACCACCAGTTCCAAGCAATACTACGTTGCTGGGCCTGGGCACTAAACCTTTGTGCCCACACAATAGAGACATATTCGAGTGTGGCCCTCGATCCCTGCGCACTACTTTGAAGCCCAGCACCCCTTATCCTCCCCCTCTGCCCACACACATGTCACCCGCTGCTGGTTAAGTGTAAACATACAGGATCACAAGGCACCAAGGGATAGCACATGGCTTAGAGCTGCTGCCTTGCAAGCAGATGATCATAAATTCAAACCCCCCATGTCCCACACACGCCAAGCACAATCCTGGCATCTCTGCTGTCTTCGATCTCAAGTGCCAGGGGTGATTTCTAGCCATATTAGCCCAGAACTATATGAGCGGCACAACAAAAAAGGTTGCAACCCAGGCCAGAGCAATAGTATAGCGGGTAGGAGATTGCCTTGCATGGGGGCCAACTAGAGTTCCACCTGGAGCCCGGCCAGTCGTGGTCTGAGTGCAGGGACAGGTTGTAAGACCTGAGCACCACTACATGTGGCCCAAAAAGCAAAAAACAGGACAGTTGCAACTCTGGAAAAATACAAGAATGACAACCTAGGGAAAGCAGGAAAAGGGGTAAAAACTATATAGTATTAAAAAATAGATTGCACTTGCGGTTCGTTTTAGTCACACCACATATTTCCCTCTTCCACCCTTGACACTGGCGTACAACTGTTTTTTATTTCCCTGATGTCATTTTGAGCATCTGAATAAGAGTCATACAGTATATTTGAGATGGACTTTGTTCACTTGGCATAGAAATACCTTTTTCTTCCAAGTTATTGCTTGTGTCAATATATTGTTGCTTTTTTTTCTAACTATCCATAGTTAATGGGTGTATCTCAGTTATTTCATCATTCACCTACTGAGGGATATATATTGACTATTTCCACTCCTTGGCCATTCCAAAAAAGTTTCCTGTGCAACATTCTGAATAAAGATAAGTTTTCATTCTTCTGGGATAAATGTCCAAGAATATATAGATGCTGTATTATATAGAAGAGTATGTTTAGTTTTTTAAAAAATCACCCAACTATTTTCCAGAATGTCTGTACAATTTTATGTTCCACCAACAGTGTATGATAGACCTGAGTGATATAAAATATTTCCACATCCTCAACAGCATTTGGTATGTCACAGTTTATTAGTTTAGCTATTCTGTTAATTATAAAACAATACCATGTGATAATCTTAATTTACATTTTCTGATGTTATTGACACTTCTTATGTGCTTATTTGTTCTTTCCCATCTCGATATTCTTTCCAGAGAAATGTTTCACGTCTTATGCCCATTATAGTTGGATTCTTTTCACAGTCTTACATTTAAAAGTCTTTCTTATTATTTTTTGGATGGAATCTTTCATAAACATTTAGAATATTGATATAATTTCTCACAAGCAAGATTACAGGGCATCAAGAGGTAGTACATGGCTTAGAGCTGCTGCCTTGCAAGCAGATGATCATAAATTCAAATCCCGAGATCCTTTAAAAAAACACACACACACACTTGAAAGGGGCTGGAGTGATAGTACAGCAGGTAGGGCATTTGTCTTGCACACAACCGTCCCAGATTTGATCCTAGGCATCCTATATGGTACCCTAAGTACTGTCAAATGATTTCTGAGTACAGAGCCAGGAGTAAGCCCTGAGCATTGCTAGGTGTGGCCCCAAAACCAAATAAATAAATAAACACTTTTAAGCAAAGGTTTTCATTTTGAAGAACAGTTTCATTATTTTTATATGATAATACTTCTGCTGTCGTGTTTTAGTAAAGCACGCAACTAATAGGCAGTGAAAATTTTCTTCTACATTATCATCTGAAAGTTTACAATTTTATGCTTTTGAATTAATTTTTGTATAAAGTATGAGATTTAGGTGCTTAAAGTAACCAGATGTGCTTCAGTTATCTTCTTGCAAGATAACATGAAATAAGAATTTGCTGAATAATTAATACTGTATAATTCACTTTACTATTATAGAATATAAATATGAAACATGTAATGGGAACAACAAAAAAAATACCAGAAATTATAAGAGGCTAAGAGGAAGCTTTCTTGAAGAGACTTTCTCTAGAATAAAATGAGAGAGAAAAAAAGAAGAAAGAAAGCTTTCTCCACCTTAATAAAACAAGATGCTACCTAATCTATTCTGTTGGTTACAGAACTGCATGGAGGGAAGTACTCTTAATTGACAGGCAGATCCCTCAATTGTCAATGCAGCTGTTCCTTATCTCCAAAGGCAGTTATTTTGTGAAAGGAGGATCTTACACCTCTACTTTAATAACTTACATTTTCTTATGTAAAAAGTCTTCCCTGTTGGTTCCACCTGTAACTACATTTTGTGGAAAACTGAGTAGCCTAATTCTGCTTTCAGTATTTGAGGAGTGCTTGTAATCCTCAACCTGTTGCTTAAGGCTTGCGTTTTGTCCTTCTCCCTGCTAAGCACTCTTATTCCTTTAGCCAACTTATTTACCCACGTGGCTTTAAATCTAGATAGATTGATTGGTCTCTTAATCTTGATGCTCAGAACTGAACAAAGCACTCCTGTTGAGTGGTCTAATGAAGAAATGAAGGGGGCCGTCATTTTCCTGTTCTCCCTTTTTTTAGGTCATTGGCTGCGGACAGCCTTACCACAACATTCAGATTGTACTTAGTGTCAACCAAAAACCGGGTGTTTTTTTTTATGTATTGTTGCTTAAGCCACATTGCTTTAATTGTACACTACAGAATTCTTTCTAGCCATCATCAAATTGTAACTTGTTAGATTTCAGTCATTACTTGAGCCTCTTTGGTTATACCTTCTGAGATACCTTGCAGTTGGTTCTGTATAGTTTGGGGTGAGGGGAGGGAAGGAAAACTCCGGCAGCCCCTTCTTCCAGTCATTTTCAGCTAGCACACCAGCAGTTCACTGCCTGGGCCTGCAGATTTCGTGCTGCTCCAGCCCTGTGCTGGCAGGGATTTCCCAGGCCATCTACGTGGCGGTGGGAGATCTCCAGAACTAAACCCAGCAATGCTCCGGGACCATGTGGAGGCAGGCATTGAATTCATTCATTTGCATGGACCCTCGACCCACCCTACACCTTTTGAGACATTATCTCTGTAATATAAGGATTATACTTTCTCTCAAAGTTTTTATAATCTTTAAACTTTTGTATTTTTTTTAAATCTTCAGTTATGTTTACCTTGTACAGACCTCAAATCATAGTTGTACAGTACAATGCAAAGAACCTCCCACTGCTTCAATACAAATTTTTCTGCTAATCAGTGCTGTTGGCAAATCAGGAGTTTGGAATACTTTTGAAAGTACGGATATGACCATATTTCCTCCAGTTTTTTCCTTAAGAATATTATTAAAGCCTTTGTTTAACTGCTTTTCCAGATGGTCTCCTGTGAGACTTACTCTCTAAACGTCACTGTAATGAGAATGTCCTTCCCCTTCCTCCTCTTTCCCACACTACTACTCTTTGTCCTCATACTATGATATGATACTTTTCTGTAATATTTTTCACCATCCCGCGTAACATTTTTGTCAATATTTATTTAAGCCATCTCCCTCATTGAATATATAAGTTTTAAGGAGATATAAATATTAGTATGTCTTATTAGTTTGCCACGTACTCAGCACATGCCAGATAGAAGCATTTAATAAATATTTTTGAATGAATAAATTATATATCCATCATATTGGATTGCTAGTTTAATAGTTAAGTATTAAATTAAAAGGCCCTCCCGTTGATCATCGATTTGCTCGAGCGGGCCCAGTAAGGTCTCCATTGGAGACTTTGTTGTTACTGTGTTTGGCATATCGAATACGTCACAGGGAGCTTGCCAGGCTCTGCCGTGCGGGCAAGATACTCTCGGTAGCTTGCCGGGCTCTCCCAGAGGGGCGGAGGAATCGAACTCGGGTCGGCCATGTTGGCTGCGTGCAAGGCAGACGCCCTACCGCTGACACAGCGGGTAGGGCGTCTGCCTTGCACGCAGTCAACATGGCCGACCCGAGTTCGATTCCTCCGCCCCTCTGGGAGAGTCCGGCAAGCTACCGAGAGTATTCGATATGCCAGACACAGTAACAACAAAGTCTCCAATGGAGACGTTACTGGGCCCGCTCGAGTAAATAGTTAAGTATATTATTAAAGTAATTCAGAATATTCATAAGACACAAACTTTTTACATTTGATATTTTTTTAAAAAATCATTGTGTATCAACTATGGTACATTAAGCATTGTTCCAAGATTTTAGGGTTTATCGGGTGAGGATTAAAACTAACCACTGGTCTGATACAATTATTTTCATTAATTCTTGCTTATAATTAACAATAAAGTTTCTCATTTATAGAATTTTCTAACTAGGAACTAAAGATAGTATCCAGTCTGTATTTTTGCAAAATCAACATTTTTTCCTTCTTAAAAATCATATTTACTGTCTTCATATTCTGTAGTAGCTCTCTGTTCTCTCCCACAAAGAACATTAATAGCACTATGGAGGTATTTGCAGGTATTCTAAATAATCTTATAGAAGTATATATGTATAGATATACATATGACATTTATGTGTGGATATGCATATGTGTATAAAATATATTTAAAATACACAGAATTATATTTTCTAAGCCTTTAAACTCCTTGGACTTTTTAAAATTTACTTTAGATACTCGTGTTATCAGTAAAAAAATAAGCAAAGTGAATGATTTCTACTCTTGATAAGCTGGGTTATCTGGTGGAGTTAATAGCAGTAAAATATTAAAGCATTTCCTCTAATCTCATGTATAAGCAACTTTAATTGATAGATTTTTTTTAAAAAAAGAACATTTTTATTTCAAGGTTTTTACTCTTCTTTTAGATTGCAGATTTTGGTTTATCAAAATGGCGCATGATGTCCCTCTCACAATCAAAAAGTAGTAAATCTGCACCAGAAGGAGGGACAATTATATATATGCCACCTGAAAACTATGAACCTGGTCAAAAGTCAAGGGCCAGTGTCAAGCATGATATCTATAGGTATAGTATATTTCTTTTGCTTGGAATTAGTATTTTTTAACAAATTGTATGTTCTGGTAATATGTTTACTATTTTATGGTATGTAAATTATGATATTAATTTTCAGTTACTTAGACACCACCACTCACCGTCCGCAAAGTGTCCTTATGTCACCCAGAGTTAATTGTGTCTTAAAAATGTGATTAATAAATCACAATTTTTGAAGTTACATTTTAAAGTATGATGTTTTAAATGTTTTTTTCTCTCATTAGTATTATACAAATTAAGATCAAAGTAGCCAGTATTTTTGAAATTGACATGCCTTGATTTAAGTGCCTTTTGTATTTTTTTTTATGTAAAACCTACCTTATGACCGTGTTAATGTACAGTATAATACCCAGGGGTATTATTATATGTTATTTTTTAAGGGAGGGAAAGAATATGTAGTTAACATTTAACAGTACCAAAGAGTATAGAAACTAAGCCGGGGTGGTGTGGGGGGGAGCAATAGAATAAGGTTACATGAGACAATGTTTCTATGATTTTTTATATTGTGGAAGAAAATAACATAATGTGAGGGCTTGTTTAGAGTGATCATTTCCAACTGTTGTTGTCAGAGTCCTTCCTTCTCTACCCTAACTCCTTCCATCCACCTCATGCTTGTGTCAAGCTTCCAATCATGGGCCAGTTCTCCTGGCCCCAGTTTAAAATTTCATGTTTTTATTAGTTTTCTATTTTTCAGTTAAAACAATTGATTAGGATAATCTTCCCTCGCAAAACAAAACTGTATGTGAAAAATTTGCATCTTGATTATTTATGGTGATACTTTATTCAGTATTTTTACTACTTTGTAACTTTTAAAAATGAATTAGCAATAGTGAGCTTTTAAAGTTCATGCTATTTGCTGCTAAACCATACACCACCATAGAAGTGATGCAGAAAGAAAGGCTTTCGTGCCAAAACAGCTTCTTAGCTGTGAAGTCCAGCTGGCCAGCATCAGCTGTAAACCCAGCTTCAGAAAAAGAAAGCGGGGTCTGTGGATTAGGGGTAGACGACAGAACTGTGTATACATTTTTAGGAGTCATCTAGGAAGAGTCATGCGGGGCTGGAGCAATAGTAGGTGCTTGTACTGTGCAGGTAAGGCACTTGCACTGCATGCAGTTGATCCTGGTTTGATCCCCACCAACACATGGTTCCCTAAACCCCAAAACCAATGTAAAAGAAAACGGTCATGCATGTTAATGGGGGGAAATGTGAGCATGCACAGTTGAGAAACAGAGCGTGAACACCAGCAGTCATACATTCCTTTCCGTGTACCAAAACTGGGAAAGTATCATCAGGGGAATTTTTTGTTTGTTTGTTTTTTTGTTTTTTAAATTTTTATTAGTGAAACACCGTGAGGTACAGCTGTAGACTTACACATTTTTGTGCTTGGGTTTCAGTTACACAATGATCAAATACCCATCCTTCCACCAGTGCCTGTTTTCCACCACCACGGGTCCCAGTATCTGTCCCACCCCCGGAATGTTTTTAATATAGTAGTGAAGAATTTGGTGACTAGCAATCAAGGAAGGCTCCATTGCACAATCTCCACTGATGGGTTGTATCCAGCCAGGAAACTGCCATCTTTATCAGAATTCTCTGTAAAGTTCTCCCTGGATTCAACACAGCTGAAGGGAGCTGATCAAATTACAGGCCTCTGGCCAGCAGGGTTTTATTTTTGTTTTTCTTTGGAGAGTAGAGGCTGGGGGCACTCCCCAGCAGTGTTCAGGGGCCCAGGGGCTACTCCCAGTGAGACACAGCCCACCAGACCAGAGAGTTCAGTGCTCAGCCCAAACAGTGCTCAGAGCTAGCAATGAGATACCCTGCAGTGCTGAGGAGCCAGGGGTATTAGGGCCTTGCATGTGCAAGGCATTTATTCCAGCTTTTGAACATTTCCCCAGCCCTGCCAGAATGCTGTTTGCTTCTTCAATCCTGGTGAGCCTTTCCAATTTTGATGAAAAGGGCCACAACATTTGGTCGAGTTCTAATTAGATTACAAATTTATTATGTATAGTTTATAATATACTGTCTTTACATTTTTAACCTTAAATAGCTATGCAGTTATCACGTGGGAAGTTTTGTCCAGAAAACAGCCTTTTGAAGGTATGTGTACTTTGATTTATATATTCTTCCATTCCTGTTGATAAGACCTTTCTAATGTTCATCTTATTGTAAATGTGTCTGCCATTCATTATGTGGAAAACGCACTAGGGAAACATAATACTTATCAGTTGTGAAGCTATTAAGATTTAAAAAATGTAGATTCTAATTCTTTGAAAATACTAAACTCTGATGAAATCACTAACTTGCTTCAGTCCTCATTTTTTCATCTTCATATAGAATTTTGAATTTCTACTTCTGTGGTCCGTTTGCAGAATATTTTATATAAAGATTTAAGTAGTGTTTCATCAGAGGATAAGTTTTGTTTGGGGGTAATACCTCATGGCTCACTCCTGGAAGTGCAACGGGAACCATATATTGGATCCCCGGGATCAAACCCTGGTATAATGCAAGCACCTTACCTCTTGTACTGTGTTTCCTGGCCCTAAGGAATAAATTTAAACTTTTCTGATATTGTGTCTTTATTTTGAGATTTGTAATAGCCTGATGTTAAAAGTAACCTTTAAAACACAGCATAAAAATAAACATTTTTATTATTCTTACTGGTTATTAGTTCGCTCAGCCCTTCTTGGTGTCTGCTAAGTTATGTTCAGCTCAGCTAAGATCTGTGCTTTTGTTCTCTTCTACTCCCATTTCATTGGCCAAGTCAAGTCCCACATCAATTTTAAAATTAATGAAATGAAGATGTAAACTCCTACAAGAAGCTGACAACTCTGTCAATGGATGGGATGTATATATGGCTGGGATGTATATATAGATACAGATATAGGTATATTCAGAGACAATTATTATTCTATAATACAGTTACTATTATTCCTAGATTATATTTACTATTATTGCTCTAGATTTCAAGATCCCTTTTTATTTTTAATAATTTATTTCCAGTGAATGAAATATGTTTATTTTGACAGGAGTCATCAACCCTTTGCAGATTATGTACAGTGTATCTAAAGGGCATAGGCCTGACATTAATGAAGAAAATTTGCCGTTTGATATACCTCATCGAGCACTTATGATTTCTTTAATAGAAAGTGGATGGGCACAAAATCCAGATGAAAGACCATCTTTCTTAAGTGAGTTTGCACTCTTAAAGTGAATCTTTCTAATTGCAAAATTAAATGTATATAATATGAGTAAAGATTCCTTGGAAGTTTTACAAGTTAGATAAGAAATTGTTAGTGTTGTTACTGTGTTTAGTATATCGAATACATCACGAATGGCTTGCCAGGCTCTGCCGTGCGGGCGAGATACTCTCGGTAGCTTGCCGGGCTCTCCGAGAGATAAGAAATTGAGTATTTTATTATTTTCTTTATTTTCTTTGGTGTTGTTACTCAAAACAATTATGAAAGAGCAATTGTTTCTAGAGCAAAATTGAGAAGCCCAAAAGAAAATGAAAATAGTAATAATTCCACTTACACATAATATTTATTGAACATGTACCATGAATTATATACTGGACTGAGCACTGGTAAAAGACCAGTGAACAAGATAGTCTATATTGCTGAATACCTGAAGTTCACATTCTTGTTCGGAGAATACAAAGGAGTTTTAAATTTCCTTGCAGGAGATCCTGTAAGGGCTTGGGCATGATAATAGAGTAGTAAAGGAAAAGAAAGAAAAGAAAAGAAAAGAAAGAAGGAAGGAAGGAAGGAAGGAAGGAAGGAAGGAAGGAAGGAAGGAAGGAAGGAAGGAAGAAGTCTTACATAGGAGCAAATATTTAAACAACAATTTGAAGTTTGAAAATCAGCCAATCATTCAGAAGCTAAAGAAAAGTATTTCAGGAAGATAGAACACCAGAGGCTTGAAGAGTATTCCTGAAATAAGCAATACTCCTTCCCTCACCCCCTCCTTATCTCCCCACCACCACCCTACACCTCTTCCCCATAGCCCCTTAAACATTCTTGGGGCAAGAGGAGCTCAGTATGCAGTTGGGTGTGGGGTAGGGCTTTCCATTAAAGAAGGTAGATTTCCAGGAGGCTACTGAGAAATCTGTTTCTGTAAAGGGAGCAGTAGCCCAGATAAAAGTTGGAAACCCAAGCACAAAAATTTGTAAGTCTACAACTGCACCTCATGGTGTCTCACTAATAAAAATTAAAAATTTCTTTTAAAAAATTTGGATACCTCTGGGCTGGAAATAGAAAAACTGAGTGCTGAAAGGAGGTAAAGGGGATATATATGGTAACCTTTCAGTGCCCGTATTACAAACTATCAAACCACAAAGACTAGAAGGAAAGATAGAGAGAGGCAGGGAGGAAGAGAGGGAGAGAGAGGGAGAGAGAGAGAGAGAGAGAGAGAGAGACAGCTCTGTCTGCCATATAGGTAGGCTGGCTGTGGGAGTGGGGCTCGGGGGGAAACTGGGGACATTGGTGGTGGGAAATGGACACTGGTGAAGGGAAGGCAGCGTTGGAACAGTTTATGTCTGAAACTGGATCATGAACAACTTTGAAGATGTGTATCTCATGAGTGATTAATAAAAAAAAAAGAAAAAAGAAAGATGGATACAAAGTCCTAAGTATCGGGGTGTTGTTGCTGCCTTAAAGTGCCTTATTATTGCTGTTGAACTTTTTTTTAATAAAAAAGCCTTATTATTTTTACCAAAAATGACCTGTGTAGCTGGAATATAGTGAGCAAAGAAGGAATAACGAGATCAAATAGGAGAGGTAAGGAGATGCAATTGGCTATTATAAAAATAATTAGGTATTTCTTCTAAAAATATTGTGGGGAGCCATTAAAGTATGACTTGCAGGAAAATGAAACAGTATAACTTAAGTTAAGGAGATAGCAGTTTTGCTGCTCTGTGGAAAATTAGTTGGAGAAGAAAGAATAAGTGTGGGTAAGTGTGGAAGCAAAAAAGAGCAACTAGAAGACACGGTGTTTTCCGATTGAGAATCCTGGGAATAGAAAATTTGGACAGAAATAAGATTTACTTCAGAAGTAGAAGGAATAATCACCAAACTGGAATAGGAGAAAACTCTTCATGACCTTGATTTAGGCAGAGTCTTAGATCAAAAAACATGCCCAATTATAAAACCTGATCAATGGACTTTAAAAAATTGAAAATGCTAGCATTTCAAAAGATACCGTTAAGAAAAATTGAAGACAAGCCATAGAAGGGGAATCTTCATTCTAAAGTAGAAATAAAATGTAATTTTTCACTCAGAACTATATCCAGGGACTGGAGCAATAGCACCACAGATAGGGTGTTTGCCTTGCACGCGACCGACCCGGGTCTGATTCCCAGAATCCCATATTGTCCTCTGAGCACCGCCAGGGGTAATTCCTGTACATCGCCAGGCGTGACACAAAAAGAAAAAAACAAAAAAAACTATGTCCAGTACTCATCAGCATTACATAAAAAACAAAAGTTGCTACCATAATGGATTCACTTTTTTTTTCTAGTATCATGTACAAGGGTATGTCTCCTTTATCCCAGTGCCACTACCTACTTTGTTTCTTGGCCATCCCCAGCAGTGGCTCTGTAGTCAGACATCACTCCTGGCAGCACTAAGGGAATCTTAGAGGCTCCAGGGCTCAAACTCGAGTTGGCTGCCTGCAAGGCAAGCATGCTACCCACTCCATGACTACCTCTCCGCACCTTCACACTCCCCCCACCCCCAGTGTCACTTCTACAGAGTACGTTCTTGATGGCCTAGGTCTAGTCCTTCTGAAAATCATGCTAGGGCAGTACTTCATGCTCTGAGCTTCCTGGTATTTCCCTAGTTAATTGTTAATTGCCAATAGCTTCACAATATGTTGAATATTTGAGAGGAAACCTCCGCAGATTTCTGCAGTTCTCTCTCCATAGACTCCCTTCTCTCCAGCACTCTAGCCTGCATCATCCTAGACCAAGGCCACAGCTGCGTGACCTACACCAGACTCAGCCCTGTCTCCTCATCTCTCTCTCTCTCTCTCTCTCTCTCTCTCTCTCTCTCTCTCTCTCTCTCGTCTATGAGAATGAAGCAGAATCCACATTTGAGAAGCTCAGTAGTATGGTAAATATTCTTAAGTGCCCAGTTTTGCCCATTACTTTATAGAGGAAACCAGTGACTTCCTCTTCTTGCCAAGATGAACTAACATAACTAACTGATGTACTCTGTAAAGTGAAATGACCACTGAAGTCAAACAAACATTTGAAATAATTAATGTAGAGAATATATTATCAGGCAACAAAAGGTAATAATTATTGCCAAGTAGCAAGAAACAGATGAGGTGAGGTGAACCTTAAGATTGCAGTTCTTAAGTTCTTCTGGGGGAGTTCAGAAGAAACACTCATAAGGAATTCACAGAATCAAAACTTTTCAAAATAATAATGAATAACCGTTATTTTACCTTTTTACTCACCTGCACATATAGTATATTTGAGAGGTCAAGTGAAGTGTATACCATTGTCTCTGCAGACAATAGAATGTATTTCTGCATAATCTTCCTTTTGAAATTCTATTACTTAAAATAAAAATCGTTATTATTCACAGAGACAAAAGATATATGGGGTGTTTAATATTTCTGAAGTCCTGAGACCTAACAACTTGAGAACTGCCATTTTAGACAATCATTTCTACTGTATTGTAAACAAGTGTCACTCTTGACAGTTCCAAGCTGAGGATGACATTCCCATTTCCATATCCCTCAAACGGAAAATGTGAAAGGAACATTTCCACCTCTGTCTGCCCCTCAGTGACTCTCCTTGGGATGATCTCATTTACTTATTCTGGAGAACAACTGAGTATGCTTCCGTGGGCCCTTCTCAGTTTTCTCCTTTTAGAAGTCAGCCTGTCTAAAGGATGCACACAGTTTCTGCTCCTTCCTGTGGAAAGAGGGTGAAACCTGAGACTTACTTACTTACATGGGTCAAGTATAGCCAAGCCCACTGGCTGCTGAGCTCATGTACATTCTCCATGCTGCTTTAAAGGGGATGTTCTGACCATCATCAATATCTATTCTGTAACCTTTCATAAGTCTGAGGTTGAGAAGAGAAGACATAACTATTATGTTTAATTCTCTCTTATTTTCTCCTTTTTTTATTAAAGAGCCATGATTTACAAAGTTACTGATAGTTGCATTTTAGGCATGCCATAATTCAGCACCATTCCCTCCACCAGTGTCAAATTCCCTCTACCAGTGTTCCCAGATTTCCTAACCTAATTCTTTCTTCTTAAATCTGTCCATGCTACATCTTATTTTGAACTGATTGTCTGCTCCCATATTTAGCTGAGAAAATAGAACCATTAAAGGGAATTCCTTCAGGGCTGGAGTGATAGCACAACAGGTAGGGTGTTTGCCTTACATGTGGCCAACCCATATGGTCCCCTGAGCACCACCAGGAGTAATTCCTGAGTGCAGAGCCAGGAGTAAACCCTGTGCATTGCTGGGTGTGACCCAAAAAGAAAAATATACTAATAATAGTAAAGGGAATTCCTTTATACTATCAGAACTACAAACTTGTTCTTTTATCCACCTTTCCTGCCTTATATCTCATACATGAGAAAAATGTCCATATACTCACACAAATGTATAACTTGTGCTCTCTGTATCCTTTCCTGCCCCTGACCAGCATTCTGCTCTTCATATTCTCTCCCATCTCTTGTATTTCCAATCCCTGCCTGCCCACTATCTCATTTTCCATACAGATCTAATCTATTACTGGCTCATCTTTTATGGGGGAAAAATCATGAACCCCCCCCCAAAAAAACACTGTTCAGCTGTTCCTCATTTTCAGAACTAAATTCATAAGAATTTTTTGTACTTTTATTTACTGCTTTCTCTCAATTCATATTTTCCAAAAATAAAATTTCATTTTTCCATTTTAAACATTGTTTTTTCCTTTCATATTGCCACCAAAATGACATATGTTCAGGTTATTAAACGATGACACTGTTGGGAAATCCTGTTTATCTTGTCTTCTCAGTAGGATTAGTCTTGCTGGACTATTCCTTCCATGAAAAATACCCCCTAGTGACTTCCGAGACATTAGAGATTAAACTCCTTACTCTCTTCCTTAGTTTCTTTCTCAAGTCAATTTCTTTTTTGTATTAGTTTGGTCTTTTGTTTTGGTTTGGTTTGGGGACCTCACCCAGCTGTGTTCAGGACTTAGTCCTGACTCTGTCGCTCAGGGATCACTCCTGGCAGTGTTGGGGAGACCTTACATGGTGCTGGGGATTTAATCTGGGCCCATTCTGTGCAAGTAAGCACCTTACCCTCTGTACTATCTCTCCAGCCCAGGACATGGCTTTTTATATGATCTAAAGGTTAGGGGCACTCAATTTTATATCAGCAACCCTGACCTCTAACAAATAACTTCATCCTATTACTTTCCCACCAACAATAAATCACAGAATACTCATCAGCAAAATTTTTACTTCCTTACATCATGAAAAATATTTATTATTGTCTTTTATATTATAGCAATTTTAGTATGTATACAGTATATACTATATTAGAGTATAATCATTCAAATACAAATTTAACTACAAGAGTATTTAATTCAGTATTTAACTATAATGTTGTTTTAATTGTGCTGGAGCAATAGCACAAAGGTAGGGCGTTTGCCTTGCGCGCAGCTGCCACAGCTGAGCCAGGTTCAATTCCTCCGCCCCTCTCGGAGAGCCCAGCAAGCTACTGAGAGTATCTCACTTGCACGGCAAAGCCTGGTAAGCTACCCGTGACGTATTCAATATGCCAAACACAGTAACAAGTCTCACAATGGAGACGTTACTGGGCCCGCTCGAACAAATCGATGAACGATGGGGGGACAGTGCTATTGTTTTAAATTTTTTAAATAGGATTTTAAGCATATTTTCCTGTTTCTTTTATCATTTACATATCCCTTTGGTGAAGTTCAGTGTTTTGACCATTTTCATTTAGAAATTTTTGTCTTATTTTTAAGTTGTCAGAGTTTTTATTTATTTTCATTCTGTGACTTTCTTTTAAATAGCAATTTCTTGTCTAAATTTGTTTCCATATGTATATATAACTCTCCTATCACAATTTGTGAAAAGATTATCTTTTCTTCCTTTTCGATTCTGTTAGAAACTTTGTCCAGAAGCTGTTAGCCATAATTGGAAGGCTTTATGTTTAGACTCCAGTTCTATTCCATGGATATGAGCTTCCTTTATGCCTGAAGTAAAAGCTCTTAAGACAGGTATAATGATTTGCAGGAGTGTGTAATTACTTAGGATCCTAGCACCTATTATAGATGGTAGTATTTCTATTCTACAGCTTAGTAATTAGAAGTCACCTAAACCCAAATTATTTTTTTCTTTTTTAGAATGTTTAATAGAACTTGAACCAATTTTAAGAACATTTGAAGAGATAACTTTTCTTGAAGCTGTTATTCAACTAAAGAAAACAAAGGTAAAATGTTAAATGCTAGAAATTAAAACTTCAAATATTTTAAATATATACGCATATATATTTCATGGATATTTTATACAGCTTTAATTTAGTTTTCATCTATATACTTTTCACAGATACAACCTACAGGACTGGAGTATGAGAACTTACCAGAGACTATAAAATTTTTTCCTTAGTCACCAAAGGGTTTTTCCATTTAATTTATATCACCATTTCCAGATTCCTAGAGCTCACATATACCAAATGTAAAATTTCAACTTGTAGTTGGGGTTCTAACTCCTTGAAGTTTCTTTTAATATACAGTTGTTTCCCTTTAATACATCCAGGGCAGTGATGTACCATTTGAGCTGTTCTGAAATTTACTGTTGTAGTGCAGAATTTTTAAAATTGAAGCCAAAGTGTTTTAATTTGTTCACTCATCTCCATGTTGCACCAAAGCAGCAGCTGATAATAAATTATCTAGAACAGTATCTTACTTACTCTTGCACTTAAAGATTATTTCAATGGAGGAGTGGATCCCTGCTGGCCAGGCCAGCTGTGTGCAATGCAAATGTCCCACCCGCTGTGCTATAGCTCCAGGGCTGGAGCTGACCTGGCCAACCCAAGTTCAATTCCTTCACGCTTCTCCAAGAGCCCTGCAAGCTACTGAGAGTATCTTGCCTGCACGGCAAAGCCTGGCAAGCTCCCCTGACATATTAAATATGCCAAACACAGTAACAGCAAGTCTCACAATGGAGACATTACTGAGCCCGCTCGAGCAAATCAATGAACAATGGAAGGACAGTGCTACAATGCTACACAGTCTCCGTCTCTGTAAGGGTAATATAACCAATACCATAAACCTGTTCAATTCATAAATCTTGAACATTACAGCAAGAGAATCAATCCACTGACTGGAAAGAGTGAAATTTCTACGTCCCTCTAACTATTATGAAGGAGCACTTGTGCTTTTTAGTCACCATTCAATCCTAATACAGATAGGTGGTCGGTAACTACACCACCTCCGCTTTGCTGATGACATTGTTCTAATAACAACAAACATTATCCAAGCGGCACAAATGCTGGGCGACTTCGAATGTGAGTGCGAAAAGGTCGGACTACAGCTGAATCTTACAAAGACAAGGTTTATGAGAAACAGCCTCATTCCTGACGCTCCATTCGCTCTCAACGGACGACCATTTCCGAATGCAACAGTTATGTGTACCTAGGTCGAGAAGTCAACATGATGAATGACCTGGCACCTGAGTTGCGCAGCAGGAAGAGAGCGGCTTGGAACGCCTTCAAGAGCGTGGAAGAAATGGCTAAGAGGACAAAAAACCTCCAGCTCCGGGCACATCTCTTTTATTCCACTGTTCTTCCTGCATTAACATACGCCTCAGAGACCTGGGCCCTATGCAAACAGGATGAGAACGCTATTCGCTATTCGGGTCTCTCAAAGAGGAATCAAAAGAACTATGCTTGGAGTATCACGTTTCACTCAAATGAGAGAAAGAATCTGGAGTTCTGACCTCCATGGACGATCAACAATCAGGGACACTGTCTCGTTTGCCAAGGCGTCAAAAATCAGATGGGCTGGACATGTAATGAGATTTGGAGATGACTGCTGGACTAGAGCTGTTATGGACTGGATTCCATGGGACGTCAAAAGGCTGTGTGGTCGTCCACCTAACATATGGTCAGACTTCTTCATCAAGATCCTGAACGATCTGTTTGAGGGTCTTCGACTTCCTAGAATGATCAGACGCCATTGGGCTACACTACCACGCAACAGGGACAAATGGAGACGTTACTGGCACCCACTTGAGAAAATCGATGATTAACGGGAAGTCAAGTGATCAAGTGATTCAATCCTAAAAATTGCTCTGGGACACTGCAGAGAATAATGCAGTTGTGCCTCTGCAGGTTAATGTGTTAAGAACATCTAAAACCCTTTCCCCAGTCTTCTAGCCTAAGCAAGCATAGAGTCAAGGAGGATATTAGACAGTTGTCTTCAACATACTGCAAAAGTTATTAAATGAGGTATAAAATATATTTTAACTATCAGCAGAAAAATAGCACCATACATTGGACTAATACTTTAGATTAACATATTACTCACAATATGTAATTGGGTAGTTCCATAAAATATTACAGAAAGCTCTTTCCCAGTTTTTTCAACAATAAGTGATTTGTTTAGGAGAGTATGTAGGGGCAGCTAATTGACTTCACCTTTGCCACTGGCCGAAAGATCAGATTGTCACCAACCCCATTCAGCTGAAAATTCCACTGAATCTTTACTGAGCAGACATATATCCCAGTCTTTTTTCTATTGTGCCTTTTTTTATCCATCAAGAAATTTACATTTAATTTTATCTGTTTCCTTTTGTTACATCAGCCTTCTTTACAAAACACAAGTCTTTGTATTCATCTATTCATTTCCTTGGCCATCAGGAAATAAATGCAAGTAAGAAAAAGTAATGCACACCATTTCAGTCAGGGTCAAGAAAAGATAAAGTGGTTACAATTGTCATATACCCTATTTTTCGAAAAAAAATAAAACTGAAAAGCAACTCTAGTCAAAAATCACTGACCGCATTCAAGTACTAACCACCAACTGAAGTCATTGGATAACAGAACTAATGTGCTGCCTCCAACTCTGGCACAAAGGAGAAGCAGTAGAAATCTCTGTATGCGATAATCAGTTGTTTAATTTCACATGATAAGGCTTTTTCACTAGGCTATTCATTTACTCGTGAGTATTTAGAAAGTAAATGTGAAGTAGCTACTCTGTGCAAGATTCATTGAATCTTATGGCGCTTTTGTTTATTGGAGTATCATTGACCTCAAGACATTATATCATCAACATGTAATGACATTGTATGTTTTAAATTACAACTAAATGATTCAGTATTTTATATGTTGTGAAATGACCATGGACAGAGTTATAGTTTTTCTTATGATGAACACTCGTAATATCTGATTTATTAGAAATTTCAAATATGTGATAGTATTATACCCACCACCATAGTTCTATGCTACTTTAAGGTACACTCCACTGATCTAAAGTAAATTAAACAGGCATATTGCTGATCAATAGAATTTTTTTGTTACTAAGGAAAGTTTTTTACTCCTAGAATTCTTTTCCAGTATATGAGTTATGAAAGCTAGATATAAAATCCACCATTTCTATGGGTTTATTCAGAGGTAGGATTATGTTGGAGAAGAAAATTATTTTTAACTCCTTTAGTAGGAACTGGAGCTAGTGAAGTGGGTGGGGTGCACCTGACACCTAGCATGACCCAGGTTCCCAGGAGCCATGCAGGGCACAGTCCGGGAGGACCCTGTTGTCACAGGATCCTGGGTATGCTTGGCACCATGGGGCCTGAGCAGCACATCTTCCTTGGGACCTTCCATTGGACCCTGACCAGTTGGCTCTGGATAACTGGGCGAGGTGGGGAGACAGGGAGCTTCCTGAGTACTACTTCAGAGGCAGTAGTGATTTCAAATAATTCAAATGTGGTTTACAAAAGCAGAAGTAAATTGCTTAATGATTTTCATTTTAAAATATGATTTTTATGCATTTAAATTATCTGTATAACGTCTACCATTTGTTGAATGCTTGCTACATAATTGTCTTATGTTGCATGTTTAACTTCTAATCCTCCTTAGAAAAACCTACAAAACCTAAGTGTTCTTACCTTTGGTTTGTAGGTCAGTAAACTTAAGACAAAGATCAAACAGTTTGGCACCCAGGGATTATAAACATAATCACCATCATTTCATTTGGTCACAAGCTTCCTTTCCCTAGTTAAAACCTCTGTTCCTTATCTATAAAATTGAATTTATAATAGTACTTACAAGTACAGTGCCTAAAACATAGTAAATGCTTAATTTACTTAATAGGAACACATATGCATACAAATTGAAGTTTTTTAAGAGCTGACTTTATACCAGACACTGTGTATTCATTATATCAATCTCAAATACAGTCTTACACATAGCTATTATTCCTATGTTTTAAATGCAAAGGTTTGAAAGTATGAATAAGTTGCTGAGTAAAACCAGTTTTAATATGCAGCAAGACTCAGAACTGTTATTTTGTATTTTGTTAAACTACCTTTCTCCACTCTTAAGTTATATATTATACTCTCAACTGATTAGATTTTCTTTCCATTAGTGTTATATAAGACATAAAATACTTTAAATAGAATGTATTTTATTCACATAATTCCCAAATCACTTCCCATATATAAAGATACTTTATATATTCATTTCAGTTACAGAGTGCTTCAAGTACTATATATTTTTGTGACAAGAAGAAATTGGAGTTATCTCTGGACGTACCTTTAAATCATCGTCCTCAGGAGGTGAAAGAATTGTTGATAAATTCAGTGATAAGTATATGAGGGTCCATTTACTAAATCTACTCATTTTATAGATGGGAAATTAAAATCCTGGGAGATTTAAGAATTTGTTAAGTAACCAATGGTATTCTCTTGCTTGAAATTCTTATTCTCAGTTCATTGCTCATCTCATCAAATCACAGTTCTTCCTTTTTGGCACTGATGTCTGATACAGTAAAGTACAAAGACTTTGATTCCTATTGATTCAAACTATTGATTCATGGTTCTATCGCCTCTCTCTTTTTTTTCCATTTTGTTTTTTTAACCATAGCCAGTGGTGGTCTAGGTTTTTTTCTGGCCCTGTGCTCAGGAGTGACCCCCTAGCTTTACTTGGTGGAAAATGAGGAGCATATGTGGTACTGGAGATTCTAATCAGGTCTGGCCACATGCAAAAGCACCTTCCCTCCTGTATGATCCCTCTGGCCTCAGAAAGATTTGTTTCAGTAGTATTCATTCAGATATTCCATAACAATAATTTCTTTTAATGCTATATGACATATGTCCAATTTACAGATTCAGAAAAATAATGAAATCCTTCAAATGAACCTTAAGACACAGCTGCATAGTTTGGGGATTACTTTTACATACACTGTATCATTAGATCTTTGATCCCATAGATGTACATTTTAAATACATCAAACAAACAAACACTGTCCTCCCGTTGTTCATCGATTTGCTCGAGCGGGCCCAATAATGTCTCCATTTTGAGACTTGTTACTGTCTTTGGCATATCGAATACGTCGCCGGTAGCTTGCCAGGCTTTGCCGTGCAGGCGAGATACTCTCAGTAGTTTGCCGGGCTCTCCGAAGGGACGGAGGAATCGAACATGGCTCTGCCAGGTTGGCTGTGCTCAAGGCAAACGCCTTACCACTGTGCTATCACTCCAGCCCTTTTAAATAGATAATTACAGAAAACCTGAAAATCAAAGAGTTTAGATACCTAACTGAATATTAGTCATGACAGAGCTAGGAATAGAGCCAAGGTCTATATTACTTTCTCCAAGGTTTTCTTGTTGTAGCAACCTCGGGCATTAAGAGCAATAGTTGCTCCAAATCAGTTAGCCAGTGTTGCAGGTTTGAAATGTCTCCTCACTGGATAGAACCTCTGAGATAATACAGAAAATATTTTCAAATAATAACTACTAATATGTTTAATTATTGCCCCATAGCCCCAATTTGAGATGATAAACATTTTATTTTGTTAGTTGTTTTCTCTATATGTGCTTTTTTACATTTTTATATGGGTTGGAGCGATAGCACTGCAGGTAGGGCGCTTGCCTTGCATGTAGCCAACATGGCCAACCTGAGTTCGATTCCTCTGCCCCTCTTGGAGAGCCCAGCAAGCTACCGAGAGTATCTCGCCCCCACGGCAAAGCCTGGCAAGCTCCCCGTGATGTATTTGATATGCCAAACACAGTAACAAGTCTCACGATGGAGACGTTAGTGGTCCTGCTTGAGAAAATCGATGAACAATGGGAAGACAGTGACATTTTTATATGTGCTTCTTTATAATTATTATTTACTCACTTTAATTGTATGTTAAAAACTTAATTTCACTCTTTACCAGCTAAAACCAACTCCTCATTCTCTGTGTCTCTATGTTCCCTGCTAAGTAATATTAATTATCAGTAATTAATAGCCAAAAGCAAAACTAGGGATTAATTTTTAAAACTAAATTTTTAAGTGTTTTTTTATTAACCAAATTGATTTACTCTCTTTTCATTTTAGGAAACATGTGGATCCTCTCAGGTTTATAAAAGTAATGGTTCTTCTAATACCTCAAGAACCCTGTCAAATCTTCAATACAATGAATATTTACCTAGTATGTACATTTTACAATTTGTATCACTTTCAGGTTTTCTGTTTTCTTTCAAGATCATATTCCTTGCAAGTGACTATTGTGTAGAATTTCATCCAGTATTTATAACTGATTTTAATGATAGCCTATATATGTAAAAAAGATACTCAGAAATGACTCCTAACTGAAGATTGCACTTGTGGTTATGAAGGATGGGAACAGGAAACATAGAGGCACAGAGGAGTAGTTTGCTTTGGTAAAGGGAATGAATGGATCAAGGTAAATTTAGACGTCAGTAGGACAGAGTTCTATCATCACAGATTCTATCAGTAGGCTAAGTTCTTTGACTTCTATTACTTATATTTAAGAAAGCAACTGTTAGAAATTTTTGAGCAAGTATACAACATGGTAAAAACGTTTCTGCATTAGGAAGATTCATCCTGGGTGTAATATGTCAGATGTTTGGAAGGAAAAAGAGAACTGAGGTATCGAAGCCAACTAAGATACTATATACTAGACTATTATGGTAGTGCTGATGGAAGGTAAGACCTCCTCCAGAGTACTTAAGAAGGGAGGTGTGGTGTGAGAAATATCGTGGAGATAAATTGGTAGGACTTTGATTCTTCACTTGGAGTAGCACTGCACTGTAGCACTGTCCTCCCGTTGTTCATCCATCTGCTCAAGTGGGCACCAATAATGTCTCCAGTGTGAGACTTATCGAATACACCACAGGGAGCTTGCAGGCTCTGCCGTGTGGGTGGGATACTCTTGGTAGCTTGCCGGGCTCTCCAAGAGGGACTTCACTTGAAGTCGGAAAGAAAAGAAAGAAAGAAAGAAAGAAAGAAAGAAAGAAAGAAAGAAAGAAAGAAAGAAAGAGAGAAAGAGAGAGAGAGAAAGAAGAAAGAAAGAAAGAAAGAAAGAAAGAAAGAAAGAAAGAAAGAAAGAAAGAAAGAAAAGAAAGAAAGAAAGAAAGCTGAAAAAGTTATTAAGCCTGGAGATGCAACAAAATTGGTCATACTAACAGAACCAAATCAGAACAGTTGCCAGAAAGAGGTAGTACAGGGATGAGGGTGCTTGCCTTGCATGCGACTGACCCAGGCTTGATCGCCAGCATCACTTGGTCCACCAGGCACCTCTGGCTTGAGAACTGCCTCCTGCGTGCCACTTGAGAAACCCTCCGACCAAGAAAAAAAAATTGGAATCGGTTTTATAGGAGGATGTTCGGTCAGCTATTGCAAGGATGAGGCTGTTTGAACAAAGAAAATTTCCTTCTAAGGTTTTCAGAAGACAGGTGCCTATGGCTGATGAGGAATAGCCAAAGGAGAATAGACAGAGACACATTATATATAGAGAGGGGATATTCTTAACATTAATTTAATGAGGTGGAATTAGTTTACAGCCGTGTAAACTGTTAATATTTTAGGGGTCCAAACAGTCCTCCATCACAGTCCATAGCACCTTTGCTTGTCCTTACTTCAGTTCTGTTTACATTAGACATGTCTGTTCCCTTGATTTTCCTCTCTTATATACTATGAGTAAGGTAATCAGGTATTTGTCTTTCTCCTCATGACATTTTTTAGCATGGCATGCTCCAGTTCCATCCATGCAGAAGGCAAAACTTCATCATTTCTTATCACTGAGTGATAGTTCACAATTTCTTCATTCACTCCTTTGTCACTGGGAACTTAAGTTGTTCCCATATCTTGGCTCCTATAAATAGTGTTGCAGTGATCATAGGTTGCCCAATCAGATGGTAGTTCTATTTTCACTTTCTAGAAAATTTCCATACTGTTTTACAAAGAGGCTAAGCACATTTTGACAGTCCTATGAACAATGAATGGTGGTTCTTTTTCATCATATTCTTGCCAGCACTGTTTGTTTCTAACCATTTTAATTTAAGCCATTCTCGCTGATGTGAAGTAATACCTCATCATCATTTTGATTTTAATTTCTCTGAGAAGCAGAGATGAACACTTTTTTAAAATATGTCCACTAACCCAACTCCATTGCTTCTTTAAGGAAGCATCTGTTTGACTCTTCTTCCCATTTTTCTATTTTTGGTTTTGGCTTTTGGACCACAATTAGTGGTGGTCAGGGCTTACTCCTGGCTCTCTGCTCATCAGGGATCACTCCTGGCAGGGCCCTGTATTGTTCCACCTGGGGTTACTCTCATGAGGAACTCTTTGGTGTCACAATATGTTTAATTCAGTTTTGGTGTAGATTTTGCAGTGATGACTGCAGAGTGCTAGAAGGTCCCTCCCAATTGACCATCCTACCTAGAGGACACAGTTAAAGTGCAGGAGGAGCAGAGACACAGGAAGAGCAATGGGAGAGATAGGTCAGCTGCGAAGGCACGGGACTTGCATGTACCCCACAGGTATCTGGGTGTTCTCCCACCCCACAGGTCCTGAGCAGCACAGCATCCGTGGAGCAGTGCATTGAACTGCCAGTATCTATGGGAGAGGCCTCCAGACCCTGTGAGCACTGCTTGGGAATACGCCAACTTTTTTAATTGAAACAAACACTTATAAAGAATTAAAAGCAGGAATAAATATGGGAGTGGCCAAAGAAATAAAATTTTGTGATTTATAATTTATTTGTAGTACAAACAGAAATCTGATAAAACAGCATAAACATTTTTTGTTCTACGAGATATTTATATGTCGAGTCACATTAACCATCTCATGTTTTGTTTTAAACTTTTTTGTTGACTCACTCTGAGATAGACCCTTGCAAAGCTGTTCAAGATAGAATTTCAGTCATACAGTGTTCAAACATCCATTCCAGGACAAACGTCGTCCCCAGGTTCCCTCCCATCACCCCCCAGCCCTACCCCCTGCCTGCCTCTATGGCAGCTCACTTTAATACCAATGAAAAATTAAAGACGTGAATACTGTCCTCTGTATGGTGTATGTGTTGATATTTTTGCTAGTAGAAGTATCCAAGGACTCCTCAGTGCTAATAAGGATGTTGCTTTCTTTAGGGAAAACAGAAAATAATTCTGTGCTGCATCATTGTTCGGGGACTCACAGCTGGGATGGTAATGTTTCTGCAGCTCAAAAGGCAACAACACTCTGTGATCACAGGACTTCCCCGTGCTCCCTAGCAGTAACAAATCCACTCTTAGTTGAAGGAGTATCAGGTAAACATTTTCTGTATGATGCTTTGTAAGTACTGTCATTTGCCTCACAAATATATGTTCAATAGATTTCCCAATAAGTTGTATTTTCTTCAATATGATGAATACATATCTTCTTAAGTACGAAAGCACACTGATATCAGAAGATACTAGTGCTGAAATTTTGTAATAGGCACACGTTAGTCCTTCAGGAGGAACTGCTAAGTGTAATTACTTAAGATGGTACTATAGGTGAAGATATTTTTTGTTCATTTATACTCCCTTTATATTTTTTAAAAATACCTATACAAGTTATTTTTGTCCAATTATTTGTAGCATGTGGAAAGGTAATGTTTTTCTCTGGGACAGAGAGGAAAAATAAGCCAGGTACCTGAATATTTCCTGAAAATCAACTGCATCCCCCAAAATACTTTATGTCAGGGAAAATTTTGTCTTATGTCTAAACATTTCTTTTTTCATGTGATTTCATGTGATAGCTCTTTATCTCTTCTTCCCTTTTTGATTGTCATTCCTCAGTTTGTACAGAGCGATTACAGCCTGGGATTGCCCAGCAGTGGATCCAGGGTAAAAGGGAGGACATCATCACCCAGATGACCGAAGCCTGCCTTAACCAGTCACTAGATGCCCTTCTGTCCAGGGACTTGATCATGAAGGAAGACTATGAACTGATTAGCACCAAGCCGACAAGGAGCTCAAAAGTCAGACAGTTACTGGATATCACTGACATCCAAGGCGAAGAATTTGCCAGAGTCATAGTACAGAAATTGAAAGATAATAAGCAGTTGGGTCTTCTGCCTTACCCAGAAATTCTTACAGTTTCACAGTCACCATCTTTAAATTTATTTCAGAATAAAAGTTTGTAGGTGACTCTTAAAAGAAGAAAAGTTTATTTTTAAAAAGTGTATTTATATTTGTGTTGCCTTGACCAAAATAGTTTTTTATAAAACCCATTTTAGTATCTGAAGCTTTTATGACAATACAGTATTTTTAGTTACTATAAAGTTTTCATTTTCCTATTTAGTTTAATATTTTGTTTCATTAATTGAAGCTGTTTTTAAAGTAATATATTATTGTATATAACAATATCTTACGATATCTTCCAATAGACGCTTTGTCATTTACTTTGTTGTTGATTATTTATTACTTGTCTAAAACATAGTTTGGTCTTATGAAATATGCCCTCTAAACTTAATAATAGTACAACATTTCTCTCCTACATTCCCAGGTTCAAATATTCAAAGGAGATTTAAATTAAACTCTACTATTTAGATCACAGGGCTGGAGCGATAGCACAGTTGTAGGGCGTTTGCCTTGCACGCAGCCAACATGGCCGACTCGAGTTTGATTCCTCCGCCCCTCTCGGAGAGCCTGGCAAGCTACCGAGAGTATCTCGCCCGCACGGCAGAGCGTGGCAAGCTACCCGTGACGTATTTGATATGCCAAACACTGTAACAACAAGTCTCATGATGGAGATGTTACTGGGCCCACTCGAGCAAATCGTTGAACAACTGGAGGATCATGTATTTACCGTGTATTTAGATCACATTATTGAATTCATTTTTAAAAGTGTTTCAGGGGTAAAATAATAACAAAGAATACCGAGAAAAAATTCACCTTTTAACATTAGTTCTTTTCCACATGTCTAACCTCAATCTTTCCCATCATCACTTACAATTACTAGCACCTTTCTTCTTGCACATAAAATATACATATCTGACAGTCTTAATATTTTCCTATGATAACATAGTGATTTTTGCACTAGTATTATGTATAGTCTAGATTATTCTTAACTATAACTCATTATTTTTAATTGATAAATAATCTCTGTGCTATATTTTTATTTTATTAAATTATTTCACACCAGGTTTAGCCCAAGCAATAAAGATACACTGTGAGCTGGTTTAGATAAGAGATTATATAACTAAATAAAAACTTTCAAGGAATAATTGACCCTTTATGAAAATATTTTTAACAAAGTCATCAAAATTTCTAACAAAGTTTTAAAATAATAAGGTGCCAACTTCACCACGTGAATAAAATAAGTAAATATGACAAGATGGCATTAGTATATAATTAAACATTTAGTTAAAAGGTAAAGGTAAAGGCCCTCCCGTTGATCGTCGATTTGCTCGAGCGGGCCCAGTAACGTCTCCATTGGAGACTTTGTTGTTACTGTGTTTGGTATATCAAATACTCTCGGTAGCTTGCCGGGCTCTCCGAAAGGGGCGGAGGAATCGAACTCGGGTCGGCCATGTTGGCCGCTTGTAAGGCGAACGCCCTACCACTGTGCTATTGCTCCAGCTTTAGTTAAAGCTATTAAATTATTTGTAGTTCTGGAATAAATAAGTACTTTATGTCCATTTTGGAGCTTGACATTATCCTGTGGTACCTTATTGTCCCTCTGAGAAATGCAAGGATTACTATAAAAGCTAAGTATAAATTTAATGTATTTATTTTTTTAAAGTCTTAGAATAAATATTTGATTTTGGAAAGAAAAAATATTTCTTATAGAATCTTCCCTTTTTAGTACACATTCTAAGAAAAATAATTTGAATCTTGTTAGTTAGATTTATATTGTTTTGGTGATGTGGCCCTGTTTGGTAAAGAGACCCTATCCTGAACCTTTTTTATATTCTTTTGTATGTTTTTGACAAAGGACATAACAGCAGCTTGGTTTTGTTATTTTATATAAAGAAGACATATCTTTAATCATTATAGCTTTGTAATTTTTTTCTACACAGATAACAAAGTACTCTTGAATCAAGAGTGCCGAGAATTAAGGTGACTCTGAAAGGAGCTCTCTTTATCTCTGAGTCAAGAATCGAGATGAATGTATTGTTAAGAACCAAAATGTGGGCTGGAGCAATTGTATGGTGGGTAGGACATTTTACTTACAGATGGCAGGCCTGGGTTCAATCTCGGGCACCCCATATTGTTCCATGAGCACCACCAGGAATGATCCCTGATCACAGAGCACCACTGGGTATGAATCTGATTGAAATTAATTCCCTTCATCCCTGAGTTGAACTTTTATATCCAAACATTCATTTTTTATTTTGACCTGTATTGAATAACAAATTGATGGTTAAGGAATAACCTTCTTTTAATGGGCTGAACAGGACCAGTAGACAAAAATATCTCTTAATGAATAATTCAGTGGAAGGAAAACTGTAGGATGGAGGGAAGATGCTTCCTTCAAATCATGTGTGCTAAGGAATACAGTTAGTAGGATTTGGTGGCTTTGTTTTCGTCAGAACAGGCACAGGACTAAATAGCATTTCAGCCATATAGTAAGGGAGTTCTTTAAAAGAGAGTATCAACTGTGTTCTTTGAATGCCCCTGCTTTGTTAACAGGAAATTTTAAGACTCCTAACCAGAAACTATTTTTAGCAATAAATTGCATTTCATTTGAAAATGACCTTGTAAAAATGACAGGTTCTAGCTTCTGGTTTTTGATAAAGTTTCTTTTAAGAAACTATTTTTTAAAAAGACAACTTGAAGTATTGAATTGTAGGTAGTACACAAATGTGACAGTCAGAAGTAGAAGACTGATACTATATTCAGTCATTCTAATCAGGTTCTTAATATTCTATAATCTGTCTTCTAACTACAATATTAGAAAAGTCAAATAGAGAATTCTTTCTGTTGTTTTCAAGGCACATGTACCCAGAAGTGAGCGTAGTCTGCAGATCAAATTCATTAGCATCCTTTGGAACTTGTTAGAAGTGTAAATTCATTGAAAAATTCATCAGTGGGATACTATGCAGCTGCAAGGAATGATGAAATCTGGTAGCTCATGGCAACTTGGATAGAACCGAAGGATGTCGTGTTAAGTGAAGTAAGCCAGACAAAGGAGACAAAAGATGATCTCGCTTATTTGTGGTATAGAGACTAACTGGATAAAGGAAGTGAAGACATTAAAGAGGGGATAACCCAGAACTGGATAGATAGTACAGTAGTCAGGGCACTTGCCTTGTACATGCCCAACCCAGAGCCAGAGGGGCCAGAGCAATAGTACAGCAGTTAGGGTGCCTGCCTTGCACCTGGCCAACCCAGATTCAATCCCTGGCACCCCATATGGCCCCTCTAGCCTACCAGGAGTGATCTTTGAGCCAGGAGTAACCCCTTACAGCCAGAAGTAAGCCTTGAGCACCATGCTGGGTGTAACCCAGGAAATAAAAAAAAAAGAAGAAAAGAGTGGAAACATGAGGAGATGTCTATTCTTATTTTAGAGACAATATATTTCTCAGACTCAACCTATGAAATCTAAGTGCAAATCTCATAAGAATGCCAACTACATAAAGAATCTCTGAATTCAGTATCAAAAAATGAAACTAATAAAATGATTAAACATTAGACAACTTTAAATGTAATGCTCTTATATTTGATTGTGCGCATCTCTGAAACAATTCTAGCATTTTTTTTAAAAAATGTCATTTGGTTCAAGGTCATTTCATTATAACACCAATGAGAAAAAGAAAAGAAATTCCAGCCATTGCTGAACAAACTGACGTGTACCATTAACTTGGGTTTCTTTTATTATGAACTAAAGTCACTGTTTCCAAGACCCTATTGGTGACATTGACTGTTTAGATCTAGAAAATTTAAACTATGATCCTCAAAACCAGAAATTGCTTATTCTTGAAAACTATCGCTTCTACCACTACTGACTTGGGGATTTTGTGATGTTAGATGACCAGTCTAAAGCTCCAAATTCCATAATCCTTGGTTTGTTTCTTTTTATATAGACAGCCTAGTAAGGAAAACAGCAGCAATAGCACTCACAGGCACTTATTCAAAGAATATGAAAAGGACTAATTCAAAAATCTATATGCACTTCTCTGCTTATAGCAATTATTTGCAATATCCAAGACATAGAAACAACAAATGCACATCCATGGATGAGTGGATAAAGATCTGGTATAAATTCTTAATGGAATGCAACTACTCAGCTATTTAAAAAGATAATGCCCTTTGCAACAACTGTAGCATTGCACTGTCCTCCCATTGTTCATCCTTTACTCGAGTGGGTACCAGCAAAGTCTCACAAGAAATTGTGAGACTTGCTGTTACTCTTTTTGGCATATCAAATACATCACGGGAAGCTTGCCAGGGTTGCTATGTGGGTGAGACACTCTCAGTAGCTTGCCAGGCTCTCCAAGAGGGGCAGAGGAATCAAACCCGGTCAGCCACGTGCAAGGCAGACGCCCTACCTGCTGTACTATCGCCCCAGCCCTTTGCAACAACATATAAAACAATTGTATGAAATAGTCAAAAGTAAGTGACAGTAGTATGACCCAAAAAATGAACAAATCACACTAAACATAACTCTGAGACTGCAAAAAATTAGGATGACCATGGCAGGGGGCTTGGTGGGAAGGGATAGGTGGATAAAAAGAGCAAAAATGATCTATAAATGTATAAATACACGTTTATAAATAAATATAAATTTATAAATATAAATATACACTAGAATCTCTGTAGATAAGAAACATACATACAGGTGAGTGAAACTATATCCCTAAAATTCTTAAAGTATTGTAATTTTATGTTTTTAAAAAACCAACTTTGTTAATAATATGGGTTCTTAAATCTGCATTGGTAGGGATGTGATGGAAAAAGAACTCTCATTCACTGCTGATGGGAATGTTGTCTGACTCAACCCCTGTGGAAAACAGTATGGAGAGTTCTCAGTGAACTTAGAATTAAACTGTCATATGACCCAGCAATTCCACCTTGGGGCATCGACCCCCAGGACATAAAAACACCCTCTCAGAAGGACATATGCACACCACTATTCATTGCTGAACTCAGCACAATAACTAAAATTTGGAATCAACTTAGTAGTCCAATTACAGATGGATGGATTATGAAGATAAGACATATATACATAGCGGAATACAATGCAATTGCAAGAACAATGAGATCATGCAATTTGCTGCAGCATGGTTGGAACTGGGAGATACCA